CTGTTAGGAACAAGGAACTAAGGATCAAGAGAGGTCCCTTGAAAAGTTTGCAAAAACCCAGACTCTTTGGTGTGTAGGGTGGGGATGGTAGGGGGGCAATGAGGACAGTGATAATTGTTCCCTTTGGAAGTTCGCGTGGACATGCCAGGGGCGGGGTAGGGTGGGCATTGCGCCCCCAGGGTAGGCACTGAGGCTGAGTCAGGGTTACTTAGAGGGAACGGGTGCACTCCGAGAAGGGGCCCGGAGCTCGGAGATGGGAGTGGGGGTGGGATCTGAGCCCCTGTTGGAATCTGGCTTTCAAGAGGGCCCACCCGGTGCCTAGAGAGGCCGAGGCTTAGACTCTGGGGGCGGGAGGAGGGGGTCACAGGCAATGCAAGAAACCGCGAGACTGATCCTGGAGGCGTGGGCCCCCCAAGGGGGCTTCTCACCACCTGCTGGTGGTTTTCTCCACCAGGACAGCAGACACCGAGGCCTTCCCCCCTCGGGGTCCCTACCTTCTCCTCCTAACCCACTTACAGAGGCAGCGAAGTGGGGAAAGACTCTTGACAATCAATGAAGAGCTGTCACCTCTGGATTCTGTGTCATCGAATGCCGAGAGGTGGGGCTCCCCGGGCTGGAACGGGTCCCGGCGCCAGCCACTATCTCCCGAGTTACTGACTCACGGAGCTGACTCACTCGCTTAGATAAAGATGTAACTTCTGGCCTGTGTGTGTGTGTGTTTAAAACTTTGGTCACCTTCACCCAACTCTGTGCACACAGGAATGAACTCAAGGAAGATGTAAGCAAGCAGCCACCGATCGATCGAGCGCCAAATCATATGGGAAACAGAGCTACAGGCAGGGGGTCACGGAGCTGTTTTGTCTCCCGGGGCTGCCCCTCCTGCGCCATTTGCCTCGCTGAGCGGCATCGATCCCCTCGCCTCGGACAGGCGCTGGGTTGAGGAAGAACAGGCATCCGCATGCAACAGGAACCTGGTATCCTCCAATGCGGGATCTCTGCCATCTTATAATTCCGGTTAGTCACATAGAATCGTACATCAGCCACGGCCAGCCCCTTACCGACTCCAATTCGTACACCAATTCACACATCCCTTTATTCATTTATTTATTACCAGCCTCCACCCTGTGCCAGGTGCTAGTGCCAGGAGAATAAGTCCCTCCCCTTCAGGAATTCCCAGGATGTGACGCCCACGGTCCCTCCCTCCCCTCTTCCAGCGACCCTGAGCATCGTTCTTGTAAGAGCCTCAGTAATCCAGCAGCCCAGTAGCTGGACATACTACCACTGCCCAGAAGCTGGCCACGGACAGGCCAGGAGATGCTCAAAACATGACTGGCATCAGAGGTCAGGGTGAGAGGCAGCTGGGGAATCACCTAAAGAGGAAGTTCTGGCGTTTCCTGGAAAGAACCTACTGCACATCCACCCAAGGGGGCAGAGGCCCCAACCTGTCCACGAGTTGTGACGTGCATGCAATGTGAATTGGCAAGGATGCTTGGTTATAAGTAACAGAAAGCCCTGGGAGATGGCTTAAAGCTAGGGTGCGTCTGAGTGGGTTGCGCACGGGCTGCGAACCAAAACATTGCCGGTTCCATTCCCAGTCAGGGCACATGCCAAGGTTTTGGGCCAGGTCCCCAGTAGGGGGTGCGAGAGAGGCAACCACACACTGATGTTTCTCTCCCTCCCTTCCTCTGTGTCTAAAAATTAAGAAATAAAAATTCTTAAAAAGAAAAGACAAACCAAAACTAGGATGCAGAGAAGCTGAGGACAGGGCTGCCACTGGATGGATCAGAACCAGGATGGCAACTCAGCAGCTTGTGTGGCAGCTGCATTCCTGTCACTCCCGGACACTGGGTTTTGCTGTTTCTCGGGGTGGAGGACAGGGCAGCAGTAGGTCGGAACCTGTTCCAGGCTCAGCCAGCCAGGAAGGCCTCTGAATTCCAAGGAAAGGGACTCGGATCAGCTCAGCTTGGGCCTAGCGCCCAGGTAAAAGGTGACAATCTGCAAGAACAGTGCCGGGCATTTACCAGGTGGCCTGACAATCGCCGGCACCTGGGAGACCTTCATTAGCGCTCTACTGGAGTGATCTGGGTTTGCGAGGCCAGCCACTGAGGATGTTCTGTATCCTTCCATGAACTGGAGCTACCAAGGGGCGAGCAGCCAGGGTGGCGGGCATAGCTCCAGCCTCGCTGTAGCAGGTGATGTGGGTGTCCTACCCCACCCCCATGACATTGACCTTTCTCATGGGCTTACCCTGATGGATTCCACCTGCACTTGCAGGAAGTACCTACAACTCCACGGCAGGGGGCAGCCTTCTCAGGACCCACAGTAGTTGGTAGGTAAATTCCTCAGCTCCTGCCCTTGGCAGAACAAATCTGGAGGGGCCAACACTGAACTCCCAATGCCCCTCAGGGGGAGAGGGCCCCTGGTGCCCCTGGCAGTGACCTGTTTGATGGTGCACCTGGACTGGCTGCCCTCCCTCTGGCTTCCCACTGCCTTGTTGGTGCTTCCTGGAATGGCTGCTGCACTTTGCACTCAGAAACCCTGGTCTCTGGCTCAGCTGCTGGGACCCAGCCCCAAGACCCTTCTGGTTAAACAGCTAGGTGAGTGGCGAGACTTTGAGAAATAAGAGCACACACATTTCCATTCAATTCTTCCTTTTTCTCTAAAAATAGAGCTCTTTATTTAAAAGTACAGAGTTCTAAAATGAGCATTAAGAAATTATTTAAATATGATATAAACATATAAAGTTAGAAATAAATACAAAAATCTAAGAATAATATATAATCTCAGTACAGCTGACCCTTGAATGACATGGGTTTGAACTGTAATGGGTCCATTTAGACGCAGATTTTTCTCAATAAATACACAATCAGCCCTCTGTATCTCTGGGTTTTGCATTGAACGAAAACAGTATTTTTGATCCTTGGTTGGGAATTTGCGGATGCGGTGGACAGACTTGAGCATGCGTGGATTTGGGTATCTGCGGATGCAGGGCTGGTGGGGGGCATTCCTGGAACCAATCCCCTGCAGATACTGAGGTATGACCGAAGTTTCCGGGACCCAAAAGTTATACGTGAATGCTCGACTGTGTGGTGGGGTCGTGCCCCTAATCCCTTCAAGAGTCAACTGTGCTCTGAAAAATTATAAGTTGCTGCAACCAAAGGCATCAGGTATTCGTGACCCGCTGTCCCTCATCACGGCCCTGGGGCTGGTTGTGCCCACCAAGGGCAAGTTATTATGATGTTTCCCACAGTTTTTTCATGATACAATCACTGTAAAGGAGCTGGAATTTAAAATTACTAAAAAGCTCAGCTTATCTGTGAAATTAAATGTTGAAAAAAAGCTTTAAAAGAACCCCAACGATTAGTAATAATAAAGATAATGTGATTCCTTTACCAGAGTGCTAATGGCTTTCAGTTTTTTGAAATTACCTTCAGGAAGCAGCTCATCTGGGTTCCAGAGAGAACTTCAGCCTCAGTCGGCATTTTCCCAGGAGGAGGCCCCGAGCCACAGCCTTGCCCAGCAAGGAGACTTCAGTGCGTTCTTCCTCCCCTGCGCTCAGCGATGTGGACAAGCCTTCACCCCTGTGCGAGCACACACACGTGTGCATGCGTGTGCATATGCCTGTGAGCCCCAGCAGCGAAGGCCTCCTGCCAACTTTGTGCCCCCAGGAAGTCCTTGCTGTGACCTCAGCTGTTTGCTGCCATGGCCAAGGGAACGGGGGACGGACCAGCTGGGCACAGACCGCAAAGCTCACCCTCCTGGAGAAACATGGTGGGTCAGCTGCTCAGCTGCTTCAGACAGAAGTCTGGACCCTGAGGGTGAAGACTCTGCCGTGCTTGTCCGTACTCGGGTGGGGGTAGGTTAATGAAGCCAGCACCCATCACTACCGCTAATGGCCTGTTTCTGGAAGACACTGACAGGGAAGATGGGACTTTTTTTTATAACCACAGTGGCCAGCCAGAGGGTCAAAGCATTGTCCGAAGCAGGGTTACACCCAGGGGTCCCATTCTTGTCTGGCTGCTGTCCCATCCCCAGCAAACTGGAACCCCCTGGAAGACGCACCGTTTGTTTTTTCACTGGGCAAAGGGAGAGGGACCAAGAGCCCCCTGGGCTGGGTTTCCTGACCAGGAGGTGGAGACGGCGAAGGTGGAAGACAGGAGGTGGACGAGAAGTGAGACCGGCTGAGGGGTGAGTGCTCCCAGGCCCTCTGAGTTGAAGGCCATGGCGGGAGACTTCCGGCAGTCTCCCCAGAGCCCGGGCAGATGGAGAACCCCCCAGCCCCCAGGAAGAGAGCACCAGTGATGGGCAGCCTCCCCCACACTCCAGGTGGAAGTGCAGGCGAGGAAACCCTAGGGCAGAGAAGGAAGCTGCTTACCCAGGTCACATGACTGGGCAATGGCAGAGCAGGGATCGGCCCAGGTTGGCCTGATAGCAAACCTGTGCAGTTCCATGACAGAGACACAGATGCGGCTGATGGCTGCCCTTCCCTTCCCCTCGAACACTGTCTGTCAACGAGGTTCTTCCTCACTGCGGCCCGCCCCAGGGGACTCACGAATCAGGAGCCCAAGACTTGGTGGAGAGGGCGCTGGAGAAAGGCAGGGGCTCCGCACTGCCGTGCCTCCGAACATCCTGCTCTCAACCCAGATGGCCCCTGGTGGTGTCAGCCCTGGATGTCTACTGTGACCCGGCCACGCCTGTGTCCAGGGATGATTTTTCCACCTGACCTTTCACCCCAGGCACAGTGGGGTGAGCCCAGCCCATCCTCTTCTCCAGTCTTTCTGGAGCTCCACCCATAGCTGGTGGGTCCAAGGGCGAGGTGGCTCCTTACCGCTCAACGGGACAGATGGACAAACGGCCTCTAGCTGGGGTTTGGGAAGCGCTATGAGAACACTGTGCCTGCTACCCCAGGGATGATGCTCTCAGGCTTTCAAGTCTCAGCGGCATCTTGGGCCCTTGGGAAGCTCAGTAGCACCGGATTTGGCAGGAAGCTGGGGGACAGCTCACCTGGCCAGGTAATGCCCCAGTGTCCTACTCCTTTGAAGGCTGTCAGTCCCCCAGCTGCCAGCACTGGTGTCCTCAAGTTCTGATTCGCTCCCACCCTCTTCCTCCTCCTCCTCCTCCCTGTCCTCGGTGCTGCTGTCCCAGCCAAAGGTCAGTGTCTGAAAAGAAACTAGAGGCTCCCCGGGGACCAGTTTCAGTCTTGGTGATGAGGAGCCCCAGTCAGCCCAGGAGGAGGGGTCATCTCTCTGGAGCTCTTTCAGGGAACCCAAGTCCTTGGAGAATTTGGGGAGTGGGAGAGGGTCAGACCTGTCCTCACCCAGCCCTCGGTCCAGACCCTTCTTGACTAAGTAGCCGGAGGATCCAGCCCCATCTGAGAGGGAGGAGCCGACGGTGCTGGCCCAGCTTCTGTCTGAAGAATCCGAAGAAGGACAGCCTTTGACCTGGACCCCTTCCTCGGGTTGCTCCGGGGTCTGGTGCTCCTGCTCCAGGAAAGGAGGGAGTGCAACATAGGGCTGGAAGCTGACATTGTCGTCTGTGTCCTCCTCGCTGTCCTCTTCCTTAGCACCGTCCTTCTCTGATCCTGCCTGGACGGTGGCTGGGGCCCTGGCCCTGGAGGTCAGTTTGATCCTTCTGGTCAGTTCCTTTTGGGGACAGAGGGTCAAGCCATCCAGGGGCTCGGGGCCACAGGGCTGAAAGGTTGCCACGGGGTGTCTGTGTCCAGAAAAGTCCTGATGTGGGCAGAGGAGACAAGAACAGAAGTGCAGGCTTTCCTGAAGCCTGACTGTTCTAACTGGGTCCCCTGGAAACAGCCCCTGTGACGAAGATACGAATGGAAGTGGTTTCTTTGGGAAGTGATCCCAGGAAGGGCTGGCAAGGGAGCGGGCACGTCAGACAGGGGTGGGGGAGCTGCCTTGATCACGGGTGTCATCTGGTGAGTTACTTCTGAGGCAGCCGGGCTGGACCCTGCTGGGCACTCAGAGCCAAATCTCAGAGCGACACCAGGCGGGCGTTGGGGGTGGGGTGGAGGCCGTGCCACTTCCCTGGTACTTGCAGCCTGCCCCGTGCATGCGCAGAGTGGACGCCAGAGGCCAGGAACAGCCCTCAGGAGGCAGGTGCTGGCTGCTGGAGAGAGCTTACAAATATTCCCTCGCACATGGCGGGGGCCCTCGGGATCCATCCTCAAAGGATGGAGATGTTTCACAGCTGGGGCCGTCTTGATAGTCTGTCTGCACTACCTCTGGGTCTCACCCCTCCCCTCGGAGGCGCTGCCCCGATTCGCCATACCAGAGCCTGTGGCATCTCTGCCCGCTGAAACCAGGGGTTCCCCGCGTAGCTCTTCCAGATCACCCAGCTCTTCCAGATCACACATGCCACAAGGAGAGCCAACAGCAGTGGCAGCAGCACCAGGGACGCCCAGCTGACTCCTAAGGAAAAGCAGCAACCATTACAGAAACAGCGACAGTGACTCCAGCCCACCAACTGCATGTGTCCTGCGGGCCTCACGGACATATGTCATCCTAGAATACATATGTCCTCATCAGGATAAACCCATGCTACAGACTGGAAACCAAGTTTCAGAGAGGTTATGTAAGCTGCCCAAAGACACACAAGAGTGTGCTGGAGCCGGGACTTTGATCCAGGCGAGTCTGTCTCTAGACTCATACTCTCAACCCCCGTTTTACAAAGATCTGGTACTCATGGGGGAAATCTGTGATGCCGTCCCACTTTGCACCCACCTGGGGTCTCCAGGGAGAAGCAGGTGGGCTTGGAGAACTCGCTGTATTTAGGATCGCCCAAGGTGTAGATCGTTCTGGCGCTAACGCAGTGGTTCCCACTGGTACCTGGCTGGAGGGGGATCTGGACTTCCTGGCCGTGGAGGGTGGCTGGAAGTCGGGTCTGTTTGGAGGAAGAAGCAGAGGTGAGCAGACCCGCTGCGGGAACGGCTTCCACGGGCAGGTGGGGTGGGGCTGGCAGGCAGAACACAGCTGTGATCCTGCATTCAAGTTCAAGTGTTCAGGAAGCAGTTCCCAGCACAATCTGGTTTCTTTTCTGCCGTGTCCAGGTACAGATGGTCTGGGGTCAAGAGCACCCCTGCCGTTCAAGGTCACTCCCTGCCCCCTGCTCCCTGCCCAGAGCCTTGCTGGCCTTCCCTTTGAGGGGCATATTCCTCAGGCTTCCTACCCTAAGGGCCTCCCAACTTATTTGGGGGGAGGCATCATTCAGCCATTGCGGATACTGTCCAATATAGCAGATGCCTCTCCAGTAGAGTAGCCACCGGCCACATGTGGCCCCCAGAACCCGAGTGTGACCAGTCCAAACTGGGATGGGCTCTGAGCATAAAACATCCACCAGCTTTCAAAGGCTGAGTGAAAAGGAATGTAAATTATCTCAATACTTTTTACATTAAGTGCATGTTGCAATGATACGTTCTATTGGATGAAATCCATTATGAAAATTAAGCTCACCTGTTTCTTTTTACCTCCCTTAACAAGGAACACTGAGAACCATATACATGGCTCACATTCTATTTCTACTGACCACTGCTGGTCTAGACCCTTTGTAAGGCCCTTTGTGAAGGCCTGGGGCCACCTCAGATGACGAGGAACATCCCGGGAATCAGAGGACGCAGGGCACCACGGGCATGGATGTTCAGGGAAAGAAAAAAGTCAGTAAGGATGGGGTCAGCCAACTACACAGCCCGTGGGCCAATCTGGGTGCGGCTTCTTTGTAACCAGTTTCCCCGGATAACCGCTAAGCCTGTTCCTTTCTCTATTGTCTCTGGTGCCTTTTGTGTTACAGGTGCAGCACTGAGTGGCTGTGGCAGGCCATGCGGTCGGCAAAGCCGCCAATGTTTACTCTCTGGCACTTTACAGAAAATGCTGGCCAACCCTGCCACACATGACTACGTGCAGACGAACACGCACACGCCCACAGAAAACAGGTCTGGCACTGGACAGGCGCCGAAGGGCTCGTTGTGGTCGCCTCTGGCATTTTCCCCCTTAGAGCTTCAGCGTGGTTTCTGATTTGTCTACCATGACTCTGGTGGCTTGGTAAGCGAGCACCCTGTAGCTCATCCCATTCCAGTGATAGTTTATCATTAAAAAAAAGTTTTATAATTAAAAAAATAGTAGGTAGATGACTGCTGTGCTGTCTACCTGTAAGGTGCAGGAACAGGATGCCCTGCCCTTGGCCTCTTAGGTGGAGAAGAACAGGGGTGGCCACAGGCCGTCTGCACTGTGCAGAGTCAGGGGTATGCCCAGAGTGAGGGCTGTATGGGGAGGGCTTCCTGGAGGAGGTGTGCAGGGAGCAGGCTGGCAGGGTGAGGAGCCCTGGGGATTGGTGGGGCAGTGAGGGGAGGGGGTACAGTTAGGGGGCAGGAAAGGAGATTCCCACCTTGTTCCCAGTGGCCTCCTTCCAGAAATCCACCTCGTACTTCAGATTCGATGAGGGCATGCAGTGGGGCAGCTGGTACGTGGCGGTGACCTTCAGGATCTCCTCTGTCAGAGTGACTACCAGGACAGGCGGGGCCGGCTCCACTGGCAGAAACAGAGCAGGACTTGTCAGCGCCCTTTGGGGGCAGTCCCATGCTCCCTTCCCTTCAAGCTCTATCTGGGCTCCACGCGGCGGCCGTCTGAGTATTTACCCTCCAGTCCTTACTGCCCTGCCTCGCTCCTGATCTGGCCTGGCACCTTGTCCAAGCTCGGAAAGATGCAGAGTCATATTCCATCTCCATCACTTCCTCGCTGTGTTTCTGGCAAGCTGCTTAACTTCTGCGAGTCTGGCTTTATTTATATTGTAAACATTGGGTTGATGAAAATGAACCTCCGCAGGTCGGTTGCAAGGATTAGAAATAAAACATTTGGGGGGAGAGTACACTCCCGACTCAGCGTTAACACGGGAGACTTCGGAATGCGCGAAGCACCGGGAATGCTTTCCTCTCTGTTTTTATCTTCTTTCCACCTACATTTCTACAATGTACAGAAATTACTTATGCAGCCAGAATTTTAAAAAGTTGTTTTATAAAGAGAGAGGTTGAACATAAAAAAAGTAGAAAGAAGTCTATAAAGTGCTGGTCTAGTTCATGGCCAAAGCTGTGTTCAGTGGAAGACAATGACTGTCATGGTAGGAGGTACAAGCTGAACTGCCGCCACTGGTGCCCCGCCCCGGCCTCCCTGTCACGAGGTCAGGCTGCGTGGATAGGGCCCGGGGCCTAGGGCAGCTGGCCCACAGCACGGCTCCCTGCTTTGGGGACCTGAGAGGCAGATGGCTGCAGAGTCGTGCCACTCAGCCAAGCTCTGGGACAGAGAGCCTCCCACTCAGTCCCTTACCCACAGACCTACCTTCAAAAAGGTACTCCAGGTACTCGGACTCCACCCAGGTGGACCTGGCGCTGGGGGAAACCGCCCGCACACGCCCCTTGAACTTGTTGAATAGGTCCTGCTTCTCCAGGCACATCAGAGAGCATGTCAGCTCTTTGGTTCCTGCACACTTTCCCACTTTCCGCCACCGTCTGGGGGTTGTTGCGGAGCTGAGGGAGGAAACAGAACAGCTTGGGCCATGGACTCCGCCTCTTGGGGCAAGGGAACTTTGAGGACATGTGATCGCGTGTCCCTCCATTCTGCCCAATCCAGCCATTCACCCAGCCATCTGTCCTCCATCCGTCCATCCATCTGTCCAAGAGCCAGCCTCTGGCTGAGGCAGAGTGAGAACATTCCAGGTAGGAGCTCAGGCTCTGGAGAGACACGCGTGGGTGGGAACCGTGGCTCGGCCCCTCACTAGCTCTGGGACCCGATGCAGGCAACCACTCCCGAGCCTCAGTCTCCCCATCTGTCATCAGACGGATGACAGCAGGAGGTGAGCAGCGGGAGCAAACGAAGCTTCAGGTATTAGCGCCTGAGCTCCACCCCCTTCTGCCCCCCACCCCAGCGCCCTCTGCTCCCGCCTGTCCTACCCCATTTCATGAAACCAGTTCCTGGTGCCAAAAAGGATGGGGACTCCTGGAAACAACAGAAATTTAATGATTTTTCACAGTTCTGGAACCTGGAAGTCCAAGATCAAGGTGTCTGCTTTCTCCTGAGGCCTCTCCCCTTGGCTTGCAGATGCCCACCTTCTTTCTGTCCGTGTCCTTCATGGCCTTTTCTCTGTGTGTGAGAGTCCCTGGTGACCCTTTCTCTTCTTACAAAGACACTATCCTCCTGCGTTAGGGCTGCACCCTTAAGACCAAATTTAATCTTAATGACCTCTTTAAAGGCCCCATTTCCAAATACAGTCACACAGGGGATCGGGGCTTTAACATATAAACATACGTGGGGGGAGGGGACACGATTCAGTCCATGATAAGGCTGTCGTGACTCAAGCTGCTGTGAGCATTCCTGTGTAAGTCTTTGACGGACGTTTTCATGTCTCTCGGGTAAAGGTCTAGGAGGAGAACCTGGGAGATTCGGTGATTTGAGTCTGTAACCACAGGAAACTGTCCAGCTGTTTTCCAAACGGACTGTACCTTTGCACACTCTCGCCAACAATGTTCGAGATTCCCAGTTACTCCATGTGCTTCCCAGCGCTTGGCATTGTCTGTCCTTGAAATGTAGCCATTCTAGTGGGCGTGTAGTGGCATCTCGCTGTGCCTCTGCTTCACGTTTCCCTGATGGCTAAAGGCACCGGACATGTTTTCATGTGCTCGCTGGCCATTCACACGCCTTCCTTTGTGAAGGCACTTGTCAACTCGTTCTGGGCAATTTCTCATGGTTGAGATGTAGCCATTCTCTATTTTGGAAACAAGTCCTCTGTGAATGTGTATATTGTGAATATTTTTTTCTCAGTTGCCGGCTTTTCATTTTCTTCAGACTTTTGTGAAGAGCCAAATTTTAAATTGAATAAAAGTCCATTTATTAGGCACTAAATTGTGTTCCCCTGCATATTTGTATGTTGAAACCCTACCCCCCAGTGAGACCGTACTGGAGTCCCCCTTTATCCACGGGGAATGTGTTCCAAGACCCCCAGCAAATGCCTGAAACTATGATGGTACCGAGCACTGTATATTGATACGTGGTTTTGAAAAAGATTTTATTTATTTTTCTTAGAGCTGGGGGGAGGGAGGGAGAAAGAGAGGGAGAGAAATTTCAACATGAGAGAGAAACATTGATCAATTGCCTTCGTAAGCACCCCAACCAGGGTCCAAACCTGCAACCCAGGCATGTGGCCTGACCCGGAATCAAACCAGTGACCTTTTGCTTTGTGAGGCGAATCCTGACCCATTGAGCCACACCAGTCAGGGCTACATATGTGGTTTTTCCTATGCATACACTTCTATGATAAAACTTAAATTATAGATTGGACCCAGTAGGGGAGTAACAACAGTAATAAAAGAGGACAACTGTAAGAACATAGGGTAATAAAAGTTATGTGAATGTGGCCTTTCTATTACTGACAAACAAGCCGATGACCACAATGGCTACTCGGTGGTTAACAGGTGGGGAGAGGATACAGCACGGATATGCTGGACCAAGGGACGATTCATGTCCCGGAACGGAGTGGGACGGCGCAGGATTTCCCCACACAAGTCCGAGTGGAGTGAAGTTTAAAACTTACGAACTGTTTATTCCTGGAGTTTTCCATTTAATATTTCTGAACCGCCAGAAAGCAAAACCATGGATAAAGTGGGACTACTGTGTTCAAAGACAGTGCCTTTAAAGATGTAATTAATATTAAATTCATCCAGGCTGGTGTGGCTGGTTGGAGCACTGTCCTGTATACCGAAAGGTCGCTAGTTCAATTCCCAGTCAGAGCACATACCTAGGTTGTAGGTTCGGTTTCCAACTGGGGCGCGTGTGAGAGGCAACCAGTCAATTCTTCTCTTACATCAATGTTTCTCTCCCTCCCCCCTCCTCGCTCTCTAAAATCAATAAATGTATATTTTTAAAGTTTTTAAAAACATTAAATTTAGCCCTGGCCAGTGTGGCTCAGTTGGTTGGAGTGTCCTCCCATAAACCAAATGGTCATGGGTTTGATTCCCATTCAGGGCACATACCCAGGTTGCGGGTTTGGCCCACAGCTGGGACATGTGGGAGAGGCTCACTGATGTTTCTCTCTCCCGCCAGTGTATCTCTCCCTTCCTTCCCCTCTCTCTACAGTCAATGGGCACGTCTGGTGAGGATAAAAAAAAATAATAATAATAAATTCAGTCATAAGGGTGGGGCCCTAAACCAGTGAGACTGGCATTCTTATGGGAAAAGGAGGGGACACCAGGGATGCTAGCACACAGCGAAAAGGCCAGCGAAGCAGACAGGCCTCAGGAGGAAGCAAACACGCCCACACCTTGATCTTGGACTTCCAGCCTCCAGAACTGTGACAAATGAATTTCTGCTGTTTAAGCCTTGTCCTCATCCCAGTCTATGATTTTTTGCGATGGCAGCCCTAGCAAAACTCAGTTAAAAAGACTAACATTTAGAACGTAGATTTGTAGGTATCAGAGTGGGACAGGAATGTAACAAATATTTAAAGGTGTGGAAGTGGTTTTGCACCTGGGCAATGGCAGAGGCTGGAAGAGTGTTCTGAGGCGCGTGTTGGAAAAAGTCGGTACTGCCTTCAGAAGACCGTTGGTAGGAAAATGGACGTTCAAGGTGATTCTGGGGAGAGCTCAGGTGGGAAGGAGGAGTGTGTCATTGGAAACTGAAGGCAAGGTGACCCTTGTTACAAAGTGGCAAAGAATGTGGCTGCTTTATCTAGTGGCAGACACTGGCATCTTGCTCTAGTGTTTTGTGGAAGGTAGATGTTTAAAGTGACACACCTGTGTGCTTAGCCGAGACTATTTCTAAACAAAGTGTTAAAGGAGTCACATGGTTTCTCTTCCCTGCTTATAGTAAAGTGAGAGAAGATCTCTTTACTATAGTATAGTAAAGAGAGCGATAAATAGAAGGAATGCTAAGCAAAAACTGAAGATTTGAAAAATTCTCAGCCTATGCATGTTGCAAAAAAAAAAAAAAATGAGAAACACGTTCTTGAGAGAACACCAAGAGTGTGGTTTAAAAAAAATCTTTTGATAAAGTGATCTGGGTGGCAACTTGGAGATTTAATCAGCCACCATGGTAGGAGCCAGGGAAAGATCTAAAAGCAACAGCTACGTAGTGATCGCCCAGGAGCACATGGGTTTGTGTCCTTTAAAACTACTTCCTACTAAATGGAGAAATGGCTGAGCCAGGGTTTAGCTTAGGAATTGTGCAGATGAACTTGGACCGTCTTGTCATAACAGACAGCAATAAACTTGGCAAGGACTGCTAGGGTCAAGTTCAAAGGACTCAGGAGCAACTTGATGAGACTTTTGCTAGCCAAAGATGGGACAATTCAATCTTCCTTGAGCTGAGTAAGTTACAACAGATTGAAACCACCAGATATGTTTAAATACATGAGTTCATAATGATAATAAAAAAAGGAATCAATCACCATTGGGAGATGATAGGGAACCAGTTCATTATCTTGAACACTGGTAAATAAAAGCTAAACAAGTAAGGTAATAAAAAACCAAGCATTTATCCTGTCTTGCCTATTTGAAAAGTACCTCTGAAGATCAAATACTACTTGGAAGGAGCGTCGTTTTACAAAATAATTCCAACTAGTAAGCAAAAAAATACAATGAGAACATTACCATTTTGCAATTCCCAGAGAGGTTTAAAAGGTATAAAAGGGAAGGAAAAGATGATAAAGGTCAGAGGGCGGACTTTCAAGTCTCCCGTCAGTTTATCCCAGCTCCACTTTTCCCAGTGGAGTGACTCCGAGCAAAATGTGCTCTAGCTGCTTCGGTTTCCTCAACTGCAGACTGCAGCTGTGTCCTTCCTCAGAGGCCCGTGTGAGACCAAGCCCATTTGGTGTATGGCCTCAGTGCTGACATCACAGCACTCACACGTACGTGTCAGGTATGCTCTGCCTCCTGATGGAGGTCTTTCGCAAGCTCTCTTGCAGTCTGTCCTCCAAGCCAGGCCCCTGTCACTCACATCTTGTTGCTATGGGTAGAGGGACAACGGTGGAATGGGAAGAGCACACGTTTGGGGGCCAGTCTTGGGATTTTCTTCTGGCTCCATCACTAGCTTCCTCGGGCAATTCATGGCATCTCTCTGAGCTCGGTTTCCTCACCTCTAAAGTGGGGGGAACGAAGGGCCTGCCTGGTGATCCTGGGAGGAAGAAGTGGAATGTTCATACCAGACCCTGGCACTCAGCCTGGTGCACCGTGGGGCTTCAGTTCATGGCAGTTTCCTCCCCTTCCTGCCTCTGCCTACCTCACCAGTTCTAGATCAGTCCTCCTGAGAATCTGCTTTTACCCTCTTGCTCCCCAGAAGAATTTCACATGTTTCCATTCATGTGCAAAGATGGTGAATCTGTCTGCATGTTCAGATACCTCTGCAGGAGTAGGGCTGCCTGGCCTGCCGTGCTGGGAAGGACTCCAGGACTCCGAGCAGGTTCCGTGGGGAGGAGGGCAATTGCCTAGCGGTGCCTGGGCTCTGCAGGAGGCCCGTTTGCCTGCCCTGATCTGTGGGAACAACTCTGAACCTTGAACCAGGCCCCGTGAATTCCATCGCTGGGCCCTCCTGCCTCCACCCAAGTCCCACTCCAACTTTTCTCAAAGACACACCCTCACCCCTGACCGGCCTATCACCTGTGCCCTGTTCTCCATTCCACAGCATCCCCACCTCCGCACCTGTATCAAGTGCCCCCTCCAAATACCTGCCACCTGCCAACTCCCGAGGGATGCAGACGGCCAGGCAGTGCTGCTCACACCCACAGCAGCGTCCTGGAGAAGCCCCGCCTGCCCCTGCCCATCTCCTCCATCTCCCCATCCACCGGCCGAGAGGCCCCCTTTACCTTTGATAAGCCACGAGATAGGTCACGTCCTGCGGGTTGCCAGGCCCTGGGAGCCATGTCAGGTACACACTGAAGTTCCGGGACATCAGTGTCACGTTCTGGGGAGGGGCCAGATGGGGCCTCCCTGTGGGGCAGAAAGAGGTCATGAAGCCTGGAGCTGCTGGCTGGTCTTGACCTTGGCCATTCAGAGCCGAAGAGCAGCATGGCAGACAGTCACATGCTCCTTGACTTTGAGGAACCAGGAGTCACCTGGGGTGGCTGAAGCATGGGGGACATGGTGGAGGCTGGGAACCGGGGGTCAGGATCCTCGTGACAGCCATGCCACGACTGGCTGTGCTGTAACCTCATCCCCTGCCCGGGCCTCGGCAGCTTGCAGGGGTCTTGAGAGGAAGCTCCTGCCCTCTCTGACCCCAAGGGTTGCAGTAGACCACGGAGCAGGAGCCCTCTAATAGACTCCTGGGTCTCCTGTGCTGCCCGAGGGAACAGTCCCAAGGGTCTCCATAAGCAGTGTCCCAGAACCTGCCAGTAATGGTCCCTGGTGCACAGTAGATGCACAATAAATAGTTGTTGAGTGAATGAACAAATACTGTGATAACCTGGATCATTTCCAAGGCCTCCTAACCGGTCTCCCCGCTTCCAGCCTAGTCTCCTTGGTCTGTTCTCCACACGACAGCAAAAAATAAAATGAAAGCCAGAATATGCCACCCTTCTGCTTTAAACCCTCTGACCGCTTCCACTTCACACAAGGTCAAAGCCAGTCTTCACAATCACCACAAGACCCTCCCCAAGCCGACCCACTCCTCTCCCGCCATACTGGCCAGGTGCGCTTTGGGGACAGGCAGTGAGCAGCGAGAATCTCTGTCTCAGTGACACGTTCCCGACCACCTTTAACTGTCCCCTCCTTCCCCTCCTTGGCTCCTCCTCCATCTCTCTGCTAATGCCCTTCTCTCGGAATATTCATTTGATTACACAATTGCTCATTTTCATGCCCTTCCCTTGCCTTCAGAATAAAGTCCAGTCTTTATCAAGGTCCAGAGGCCCTGCCCAGCACAGCCTGGTGAGGCCATCTGGCCGACCTCTGCCGGACAGGTTCGTTCGGCTGCGCCAATCTTCTTTCTTGGCCTTCTCAAACCACTGTATTCTCTCGGGAGCCTTTGAGCTCCGATGTCTCCGGCTGCCTAGTGTTCACCATCTAATCTTTCAAAGACTTGATTCAAATGTCACTTCCTCCAGGGAGTCTTCCCTGACATCTCTAGGAGGTGGCAGTGGTGATGATGATGATGGTAATAGCAGCGAATGTGTAGTGTGTCCTAACTACGTGCCAGGCACTATGTTAAGTACATTGTCTGCATGTTCAATCCTCCCCGTGCTGCTGGGAGGTAGGTACTAATTACGATCATCACATTAGAGATGAGGAAACTGAGGCCCTCTCAGCTAATAAGCTATAGAATCGGAACTCCAATCAAGGCCGGGCCAACTCCACAGTCTGAGCTCTTGACCACACAGCCTCCTCCAGGTTCGCCTGGGGTCCATTCAGCTTCGTTCTCCCAACACCAGTGGACCCTCACGGGTCAACGACATCATTGACCGCCACGTGCCAGTGGTTCCAAAGAAGAACGCAACTCCATTCTCGCCCTTTCAGAGCTCACGGTCCCACGGGGAATTCAGTGCCTAGACGTGCCACCCGGGCCACAGCAGAAATCCACAGGGGTTACAGATATGGATGGAAAGGGGCCACATGGTAGCCTGCCAAGCTCAGGGGGGTCTGTGTGGCAGCCTTACTGACTCAGAGACCTAAAGTGACCACAAAGGACGGTCTGAAATGAAAACTTGTTAACAAGATCAGCTCGTGGTGGGTAGTCACATCCCGGGCTGGTATTTTCCCTAACAAAGGTCACTCTACCTTCACTGAGCCTATTTGCCTCCTGCATCTATGGCAACACACCTTTGCAATGTTAAGGTAACGTCCCTTTTTTCTGAACCCCTTGGGCACGTCACCCCGCCAGCTGAGACCGCAGATCCCTCCATTGTTATCATGTTCATTGCTGACTGTTAACTCTCCTTTACCCAACCGTGGGAAAGAAGTTTGCGTCTATCGCTTTTTACCTTTTATCCAATCCCAGAAGTCCTGCCACCTCCCAACCCCTAGATCTCCTCCTTCGATTGTGATGTACAAAATAAGGTGCCAAACTGCCGGCAATTCTCTGGAGCACTTCTCAGTCTGTTGCGATTTTGCATCCCGGCAATTGTCAGCATTTGGCTCCAACAAACTCACAAAAATTCTGTACGGGTTTGACTGTTTCTTACATCAACACAGAACACTGGGCATTAGGGAGAGAGGCGTCAGTTCTGCCTATGGCTCTCAGCTGGGCTTTCCTACTCCTGACCCTTCAGACGCAAATATGCGTGCCCAGCTCCACCCTATCCTGCGTCCACAGGCCAGAAATGGATCACCGGAATGCTGGTGCTGTCCCCGCTCCCAGCAGATTCTGGATTTCCTGATGCCGGGCAGGAGGCCAAAGTCTGCCTGCAAGTCACTTACAAGGTATCTGTGGGCAGGACAGGCTCAAAGTCTGAGCTTGGCCACAGTGGAGAGATAGCAGCTGGAGTAGCTGCCCTCTACTGAGCCTTCAAGGGGTTTGACATTTCACACACAAAACCTCAATCAATCAATCAATCATCAGGACAAACCACCCGGCAGGGTAGGTGTCACTCCCCTTCCATGGAGGGGCACTAGGCTCAGAGACAGATGGCCAATAATTTGCCTGAGGCTACACACAGCTAATTTGTGTGGGAGCCAGGATTTGAACCTGGAGCTAGCCGCCCTTCACCCTAAATCATCACACCACAGTCTATGTTGTGCAAATTAAAATCCCTTCAGGGAAAGTACAGTTGGGGCTAGACAAGAAAGGTACCGAGTCTGACAGCGGGCCTGGGAGATGGAGCACCCCTCCTCCCCTCCTCAGCACCGTCCCTCACCAGCTGCAAAAACCTTCGCTGCTGGGAGGCACCAGGGGCCGGAGCATCCCTGAGCTGACCGAGGTGGGTGGGCTGCCCTGCGCGAGCTACCCACCCTACCGTGGAAGCTGGCCATGCTGGCTCCAGCCGGTCTTCTCTGCTCTGTGCCTCACCTCTCTGCCTCTCTTCTTGGGCAAGTCCCTTCATTGCTCTGAGCCTCAGTGTCTACACCTGAAAAGGGAGAAAATAGTATCTACATAATGGGATGACTATGTTGTAGAGCTTAGAGAGGATAAGGTGGTGTCCAGCACACACAAAAAAGTTGCTCAGTAAAAACTGCTTTTAATATAATTATTAGGTTAAGGCCAAGGGGCCTTCTAGCTGTTAAACCGTGAGTCTCAGACTGGGAAGATGTCCCGGGGACAATTTCAGGGCCATCTCAGGGACGGGTTGGGACTTTGTAGCTTGGTCCTCTCCCAAGGTTTTTGTACTCTGCCAGCTTATTTACCCACCAGTGGGGGCAGCAAAAAGGTGGCTGATGGAGGAACAGCAGGGCACAGGCTAAGCCAGAGTTCCTCTCTCTCGGAGAGCATCTGACACCCGCAGCTGGAGGAAGGGGAGGGGACTGCGGGGTGGGCAGGGCACTTCTTGCTGACTTTCCCAACGAGTGAGACCCAAGCGTCCTATTAATACAGAAGACAGTGCTTTCAGGACACCTTAAAATGCACTTTATAAATAAATGCAGGTACTTTATAAACTGTCTCCTTTTTCCAGTTTCCCTAAAGCTGAACTGCATTAGGGCACTGGATCAGTGTCCTTCCCGAAAAAAATTTCAAAAACTCGAGTGCGCTTAATTCTTGGACGAAAACTGCTGGTGAGTGGGCAGTGCGGTTAGCACTGCGCTCCGGTGGCTGCCGAAAGGCTCGGCCCGCGTCCCTTCCCCCTCGGAGCTCCGGTCCGAGGGCGGACGCGGCCCCTGCCCTCCCCGTACCCTTACCTCCGGCGGACTGCAGTAGAGAGACGAGCAGGAGGGCCCAGCGTCCGGCCGGGCTCATGTCAGTCTTTCCCCGGCCCGCCGGGCGGGCGGGATGCCGCCACCTGACACTCCCCCCCGCCCCCCGCGGCCAGGTGGCACTACGGGCAGCCAATGGGAAGCGGAACCGCGCGGGGGCCCTGCCCTCGTGGGCCGGGACTCCGCTGGGTCCTCCCGGAGGAGCGCCCAAGGGCGGAGCGGGGGCTGCTGCTGCCCGCAGCCGCCACTCCCGCGGGCGGGGCGGGCGGTGCTTCTGTGTATGGGGCAGGGGAGGACAGGGGAGGAGAACCGTTCATTTGTAATAACCTCGGTTAGGAATTGCAAGGCAGGACTTTCGACAGGACCGAGAAGCGTGCAGGGACAGCTTAATGACAAAGCCCCAGACACCACTGGCAGGATCTGAACCCGTTCCACGTGCCAAATGCTAAGCCAACACTTCCACACATTATTTGCATCAACCCCTCCTTCCCACCCAGAACCCAGTGGGGTGATCCTCTCAGTCTCTGTTTTCTTCACGTGGGGGCAGGGGGCGGCAGCCTCCAGAGCTTAATAGCCTCGCACCAGGAGAGGTGAGTGTGCAGACGCCAGAGCCTTGGTTTGCTGCCCCTGCCTGAAGAATAAGCGCTTCCCAACAGTGGAAGCGGTCTCACCTCAGAATGATCTAGTCATGAAAAAAGTTGTGACTCAGTTGTGTACAGTACCTTCACTCAGCAGCAGAAAAGCAGGTACGCTACCAAATTATGGGCCCATTAAAAAAATGTCTTTGTAGCCATGAGTGACAGATTCAGGAGCCTAGACACCAACATGTTAGTGGTTATTATCTCTGGTGGCAAGGATTTTAAAAAAATTCTTCTTTCTCCTCATGTTTGCTTTCTAAGTTTTTAGATCATTTGTGTACTGCTTTTCCAAAAAAACAAAAACAAAAACCCAAAACGCCTCACCTTTATTCTGATAGGAATCATAGCTCTCCTTTGTTAAACATGCTCTTTTTCTCTCCTTCCACAACTTTCTAAAAAAGATTTTATTTATTTATTCCTTTAGAGAGGAAGGGAGGGAGAGAAGGAGATAAATATCAATGTATGGTTGCCTTTTGTGAGTCCCCCGCTGGGAACCGGCCTGCAACCCAGGCATGTGCCCTGACTGGGAATCAAACCGCGATCATGTGGTTTGCAGGCCCGCGCTCAATCCACTGAGCTACACCAGCCAGGGCTCCTTCCACAACTCTTGAAGGAGGTCTTGCCCCCTCTTTACAGATAAGGATTCTGGATTCAGTCCTAGGCCTGTCTGATTCCATAGCCACCCTGCCTCTGTGATTGGCCAGGCGACAGGCCAGGTGACTGCTGCTCGGCTGTGACCAAGCCCAGAGACTAACACCAGACATGCAGGCAGCAGAGAGAAACATCCATCGCAAGTGCTGGCTCCAGCTTGAACGCCAGAGGTTCTTGGGAGAGAGTGCATTTTCATAGAACTGAGTGATCCCGAAGTCACCCCAAGTTTGGCCCTGGGTGCAAACAAGCAGAAATTTCAGGAAGGTTCTGGCATTTGCATTATGCTTTCAGCTCAGTTGGCACTTCTTTTTTTTAAAAAAATTATTTAATTGTTGTTCAGGTACAGTTTTCTGTCTTTTATTCCCATCCCAGCCCACCCCTCAGGTGGTACTTCTTAACAGAGTCTCACATTGCCCAGGTTTGGACTTCAAGGGCAAGGAAGGTGGAAGGAGTTTTGTGTGGGAGGCCCACTTCAGTACCTGGGAATTTCCTCCAAAATCGTGACTGTGTGATTGAATCAAATAATCAGCCTTTCTGACTCCAGCTTTCTTGAGCCTGCCCAGTTCCCAAGCACGTCAGTGAGTAACTTCTTAGTCCCATACGTCTGCTAATCACCAAGGAATCTAACCTCTAGCCTAGGAGTTCCTGAGACAATCTGCCCGCTTGAAACCACCTCTCCAAGGAGAAAAGGAAGGCAGTACAAAACCAGTGATTGTTTATTAAAAGATTCAGACCAGAGGAATCTCATGTCCGGGACCATGGGAGCCATGGGTTGTGACCAATAGCAGAGAACTGTCACCATTCTTCTTGGACCCGTCCTGACATCCAGGTGTCAGTGGGCACCAATCACCTCCCGACCTCCTCCTGCCCCCTTCCACTTCCCCCGCTTCCCCTAACATAAAAGAAGCCTAAATTCTGTACCTTCTCAAGATGGTTCTTCAGGATATGCCAGTATCCAACCTTCTCGGCTTGTTGGCTTTTCCGTGAAAGTCAGTTTCCTTGCCCCAGCCCCTTGTCACGAGACTTATTGGCTGTCTGTGCAGCGAGCGGTCCAAGCTTTCACTCGGTTACAACTTCATTTGACCCACTGCACCTTTCAGACCCAGAGTCCCTCTGAGCCGGGAACAGATCTGCAGCGGGAACAGATGATCCTTCACCTGTCGCCTGCTCTGCTGGTGGGGTGTTAGTCCGGACGTGGCACCTGTCTTTTTGCTCATTCTCCCCTTGCTCCCTTTGCGAGCACCCCATCACTCCGAGGTAGGAGACTGTGTGCCTGGATGCCTTTGCACATCAACAGAGCATGGGGTGAAACTAGGTTTACAGTTGTGAGTACAAAAAACACAAGAGTTCATTCTTGTACTATTATTTACTAATTATTGTCTTACTTTCCATATGAACAATGGTAAACCTACTATTGCCCCACTCTATAGAAGAGGACAATTTGTGACCATTTGTAAACTTGGGCGAGTTGCATTTTTCAAAACTTTAAGGAAAAAAAGAAGCCATCTTGGATGCAGGTGAGAAAATCGCCGCCAGTTTTCAGGACACGGGCTCCACATGTCTTCGGTGGGCTGCTTTGGTTTCCTTCCGGAACCTCCAATACTGAAAATAAGTCCATTCTGGAGTAAAATGGGTACATCCCTAGTGGGGTCTCTTTTTTAAAATATATATTTTATTGATTTTGCTATTACAGTTGTCCCATTCCCTCCCCCCCCCCTTTATTCCCCTCCGCCCTGCGCACCTTCTCCCATTCACATTCCCTGCTCTGGGTTTCTGTCCATGGGTCACATATATAAGTTCTTTGGCTTCCACATTTCCTATACTATTCTTGCCCTCCCCTTATTTTCTACCTACCATCTATGCTACTTATTCCCTGTACCTTTTCCCTCCCCTCCCCTCCCCTCCCTTCCCCTCCCCTCTCCCCTCCCCTCCCCTCCCTTCCCCTCCCCTCCCCTTCGCCACTGATAACCCTCCATGTGATCTCCATTTCTGTGGTTCTTTTCCTGTTCTAGTTGTTTGCTTAGTTCATTTTTGTTATTGTTTTAGGTTTGGTTGTTGATAGTTGTGAGTTTGTGGTCATTTTATTTTTCATAGTTTTTAATGTTCCTTTTCTTAGATAAGTCTCTTTAACATTTCATATATAATAAGGACTTGGTGATGATGAACTCCTTTAACTTGGCCTTATCTGTGAAGAAGCATTTTATCTGCCCTTCCATTCTAAGTGGTAGGTTTGCGGGATAGAGCAATCTTGGACGTAGGTCCTTGCCTTTCATGACTTGGAATACTTCTTTCTAGTCCCTTCTTGCCTGCAAGGTTTCTTTTGAGAAATCAGCTGACAGTCTTATGGGAACTCCTTTGTAGGTAACTGTCTCCTTTTTTCTTGTTGCCTTAAAGATTCTCTCCTTATTTTTAACCTTGCGTGATGTACTTATGATGTGCCTTGGTGTGTGCTTCCTTTGGTCCAGCTTCTTTGGGACTCTCTAAGCTTCCTAGACTTCCTGGAAGTCTATTTCCTTTGCCAGATTGGGGAAGTTTTCCCTTATATGTTCAAATAAGTTTTCAATTTGTTGCTCTTCCTCTTCTTCTGTCACCCCTATGATTTGGATGCTGGAACATTTAAAGTTGTGCTGGAGGTTCCTAAGTCTCTCATTTAAAAAAAAATTCTTGTTTATTTATTCTGTTCTGGTTGAATGCTTATTTCTTCCTTCTGGTTCAAACCATTGATTTTAGTCCTGGTTTCCTTCTCTTCACTGTTGGTTCCCTGTACATTTTCCTTTATTTAACTTTTCATAGCCTTCACTTTTTTCTCTGTTTTTGACCATATTCAACCAAATCTGTGAGCATCCTGATTACCAGTGTTTTGAACTGTGCATCTGATAGGTTGGCCATCTCTTCTTGCTTAGTTGTATTTTTTCTGGAGCTTTAATCTGTTCTATTATTTGGGCCCTTTTTTTTTTTTTTTTGACTCGGCGTGCCTTTTACATAGTAAGGGGTGGATTCTTAGGCATTCACCAGGGCGGGGCAACCCACGTGGCTCTGTTGGGGTGCTGTATATGGGGAAGGTGTCTGAGAGGAAACGAGGAGCCACTTGCTCAGCTCTCTGCCGACCTTCAGTCAATTCCTCCACTACTAACAAGAAAATTGGGCCCTTCTGGTGCTTATGCCCCGGGTGGGTGAGTTTGTGTACATTCTAGGACTCTGCGGGTCTGTCCAACGAACTCTCCGCCTCAACCCCCAGAAGTTTTTACAGTCGGAGGCTTTGAGGCTTTATTTCCCCACAGTGGCACCCTGGGTTGTGCGGTCTGTCTCGCTCCCCAGTTGTTCCTCCTGGTTTATTTGCACACAAATGTGGGACCGCCTGGTCTCCCAGTCACCGCCTTGGCACGAGTTCTCGCCGCCTGGTTGCCTGTCTTCACCCCTCCTACTGGTCTAAATGAATGTTTCCTCTTTAACTCTTTGGTTGTCAGACTTCCATACAGTTAGATTTTTCTGGCAGTTCTCATTGTTTTTATATTTGTTGTTGTCCTTCTTTGGTTGTGTGAGGAGGCAAAGTGTATCTATCTATGCCTCCCTGTTGGCCAGAAGTTCTCTAGTGAAATCTCTTTATCTAAAACAGCATTCAACAGCATTAATATTTATGGAGTCTCTGTGAGTCAGCGGGCCCACGGTTTACCTATGTTACAATATTTAATCTTCCCAACAATTCCATGAGGGGAGTGTTAACATGCCCTTTTAACAAGGGAAGCTCTGAGAGCTAACACTGCTTGCCTAGGTCACAGC